CGGTCCACTAAGGCAGGGCTGGAGTCAGGGGACAGAATGGACAGGAACAGTCCGGTCCACTAAGGCAGGGTTGGGGTCGGGGGACAGAATGGACAGGAACAATCTGGTCCACTAAGGCAGGGCTGGAGTCGGGGGACAGAATGGACAGGAACAATCTGGTCCACTAAGGCAGGGCTGGGCTCGGGGGACAGAATGGACAGGAACAGTCCGTCCACTAAGGCAGGGCTGGAGTCGGGGGACAGAATGGACAGGAACAGTCCGTCCACTAAGGCAGGGCTGGAGTCGGGGGACAGAGGCTACTGGAAGACTGGAATGTTGACAAAGGAACACAAAAACTATATATAAACAGACACACAGGGGATAACTGGGCTTCCAACTTAACTTGTAAGGACTAAGCAGGAAAGAGGATACATACATGACTGATTTCATGTCTATCTTTCAAAAAAATTATAATAAAATGTTTATCTTTAAAATTTTCATATTTTGAGCAGGGCAGTGGTGGCGCACGACTTTAATTCCAGCACTTGGGAGGTAGAGGCAGGCAGATCTCAGTGAGTTCGAGGCCAGCCTGGGCTACAGAGCGAGATCCAGGACAGGTACAAAAACTACATGGAGAAACCCTGTCTCAAAAAACAAAACAACAACAACAAAAATTTCCTGTTTTGGCAACTTAGAAACTCTATCAGTTATCCCTTACAGTGTTGACTAAGGAAACACTGCTAGGTTTTCTGCCTTCCTCCTGATCATATTCCTTCAAATAAACAATGAATTTCTCATCCCTACTGACCAGATGCTCCATGTACCCCCTTTCTCACATAAGGCTCCCTTCTCTCAGTGACGAGCTGAAGGTGCAGTGCCCAAGTGTCCTACTCTGGAGCAGTTAGAAGCTGCCAGCCAGAGGTTCTCATCCGGGTTCCTCATGAGAAAACTGCCGGTGGGTCAGCTGTCCGTTGTTTGAACCCACACTTGCAGCCTGGCACACACATGATGAGTGACTTCAAGTCAAGGTGAGCAGCCTTTGTCTATTGTATGTCCCGTGCACAAGCAAGCTTGACTTGACCCCCCCCCCCTACTTTCTGCACAGCATAAAGGATGCATCACAAAAAGAAAGACAGACATACGGAAAGGTAACTCACCTCCTCACTCTCGGGGTGTGCGAACACAACTGGCTGACCCGTGTCTGAAGCTTCCCTGATACTGAGGTGTAAGGGAACGTCTCCTGCAAAAGCCCATGGGAAAACATTAGTGCCGGAGAAGCTCACCCAGGCATGCACAACGTCCATACTCCAACTTCAGAAAGAAATAAAATCTGAACCATAGTCTCTCAGACTAAGTTGAATTATGCCTGTCCTCGATTTGCTAAATGCCTAAAAGAGGAATTCCAAATGCAAATTAAGGGTGAAAATGTCCACTTAGGGCAGTCCGGTGACTATGCATGCATAGGGATAAGCTCTGGGGCAACCACCCAGGAAATGAGGCATCTGACTGGTTCTTTGCTGACTGGCCCAGGCAAGGACTAGCTTAGAGGACACGCCCCTGTACTAGCTGACAGAGACATACTGTGTTGCATGCTGAGGAGGAGATGAGCGAGGAAAGGATGCAGAGGCAAAGTGGACCCCAAAAGGCACCCAAGACTCTTCCTGATGTTGCCAGATGTGTGAGCGAAGACAACCGTCATAAGGTAAATCAGGGGCTGGCATGGCTCAGCAGGTAAAGGTGCTTGCCCCCAAACCTGATGACCCAAAGGTAGATCCCCACGACCTACACCGTTTAAGGAGAGAACCCACTTTCAATTGTTCTCTGACCTCCCCATATGTGCCAAGGTACCTGCACCCGTCCACATATACAAAAACACAGACGATGTGTAACAAGAACATTTTAAAAGTCGGACATGGATCCCAATATTAACAACCTATTCTTGAGACGCTGTTCTTTTTGTACCGTCTGCTAACCCACATGGCATGACACGTAACTTGCAAGCTTGGTGTGTTCTTGGGGGGGCACTGCCAGTCCACAGACTGCGGTGCAGCAGCTGTGTACACGTGCCAGTGCTGTACCAGGAGGTGGGAGAGCAGAGTGCCTTGACCCAGCCTCCTGAAGGCTGAGCACTAGGATGCAGTATATGGAGTTGTAGTAGAACTGCCCTGTCATGCTTCAGCATTCTCAGAAGAACCCAAACTCCCTGCAAAGGTTACCAAAACACGCGGGCAAATGTGTTTATGTCAGTATCTCACATGGTACCCTGCCAAGCAATATAAACAATGCAGAAGTCTATGTCACAAAATGTTGTAATTTATCACACATGGTATGGCAGAGGGGCAGTTATTTCAGGCTGCCATTATCAGCCAACTTTGAAACTATATTTCTTTTTGTTCTAGTTATTTTTATGGTTTTTAGTTAGTGTACAAAAAGGGTTTTACTATGATATTTTCACACATGTATATTGTGATATTCTGCTCATATAATCTTCACACTTCCCTAAATATCCATGATGCTAATCTTGGTTGTCAATTTGACTACATCTGTAACCAATCAAAACCCAAGCAGCTGGACACACCTGTGAGAGATCTGCTAGACTGGATCATCTGAGTTAGGAAAACACACCCTAAATGTGGCCCCACCTTCTGGTGGCAGACCACATAAAAGGTCAGGAAGAAGGAAGCTTGCTCTTTGCCTGCTTCTCTTCACTCTTGCTGGCAGGTTCATCTACTCTGTTGCTGGGGCATTCCTTTGCTGATATTAGAATATTCTTCTTTAGGATTCCAACATGGACTGAAGACCAGATGAGACATCCAGCCTCTCAAAATGAACAAGTATTGGATTCTTAGCCATTTGGTCCAGGTTGAGAGAAAGCCATTATTGGACCAGCCAGAGCACAGACTGTAAGCTACTCTAATAAAATATACATAATCTCTCATATTCTCATTCTCTCTCTCTCTCTCTCTCTCTCTCTCTCTCTCTCTCTCTCTCTCTCTCCTCCCTCCCCCTCCCTTCTCATCTCCCCTCTCTCTAACACACAGCTCTGTTCCTTTAGAGGATCCTGACAAATAAAATATCCAACAGCCAAATGACAAATATATGATTATTTCATTTAAGGATTAGCTTTGCAGCAAATTTGATGTCCCTTCTACAGATCAATTTAAGGCTGTAGGAGATTCTCACAGGAGCAGACAGGTAAATGTTACCTAAAGTGCTCAGAAACCCAGAAAGTTTTTATCTTGATTGATGAATAGCAGGGAAACCAGAATGGCTTCTTTCTGCTGCAGAAATGGAGCAAACAGACTAACCCTGTATTTCATACAGTCACCTGCTGAGGTGGCACTTGCCCTCCAGAGAGTCCTAACGCTCCACACGGCCACAGAAGACCATGGGACGCCACAGTGAGAATGGGAATGAAGCCCAAGGAGCAGCCTGGGCAGGAAGGGCATCCTGGAAGAGAGTCGGGACCCTTCCAGATGCTGGAGGACTTTTCTCTAGGATGGCCTGAGACTTAACTGCTGAGCATCAACTACTCCTTTCGGCTCCCATGGGTAAGGGTCTAAAGAGCCACCTCAGGCCAGAGGTGTGGCTCAGTCAGTAAAAGCACTTGGCCCTGAGTTCAATTTCAGGGACTCATGTCATGGAAGGAGAGGATCGACTCCTGAAAGTTGTCCTCTGACCTCCACGTGAACACACTGGCACATGTCCCGCCACGCTTTCACCCCAACACACACGACAGAAATACATTTGAAAACATAGTTTAAAAAATTCAAAGAGCTGTTTTAGGAATAACCAACCCAACAGGTCAGAAAAGAACGGGGGTGGGGTGTGAAATACAGGAAGCCTTAGCTGAGAGAATTCCTGGCCAGGCCAACCCTCTTTATAAGCAGACCTCCTGCTGCCGCTCCCGGGAGACCTCCCTGGGTTCCCTGACCACACTAATAGGTGAGTGGGAACTCCTCGTTATTTCTCCTGTGACGGTTGGAGATGCTCTTCCACAGCAGGGTCCAGCAGCCACTACTTCTGACACACTCTTAGGGCATCACACATTTGTGTGCAGCTTAAGAGAGAACTTCCAGTGTACAGAGTCTTCAGTATCTAAATAAATGGCTTACAAAACTGTTCGAAGTTAGGGACTTAGACCGCCAGCATAGTTCAATAATGCCATTATAATTACACATTTCCTTTATTACATAAGTGAAAGTCAATCTGTTACATTATTATGCAGATTTGGAAAATTGGACTTTCTAGGTTAGTTAAATGAAAAATAGTTTCAGAATATAATTAGTGGCTATAATTATAGTAATATATCAAAATAGATCATTAGCATTCACCTGGTATTGTAGTTGCTACCACAGAGCAATGAATAATAACAATAATACATTTAGCATTAACTTTCAGAAACTTACAACAATGTTTTGAAATTCTTTCATCTCTAAAGGATCTTAATGTTCAACCACCTGAAGCTAGTAACATCCACCTTTGCTCAGAACAGAAGATCATTCCTGATTACAACAGAAAAGCTTGTTGTTTGAAACATCTATAGCTTACTTGTGGGTTTTTTGAAAAATCATGTTTTACCCAAAATCTGGAGTTGTTTTTCCCACTTATCACATGATTTTTTTCACTCCCTATATCACATAATTCTTGGATTCAGTGTAATAAACAATGTATACAATGAAAATTCAGGTGCCATACTGTATAGAAATGGCAATTGCATATCACAGTGACCAGGAGGAGAGGTTGTCATTCAGCAGCTGAGAGACTGACAAGCAGAGAGCTTCTTAGGAAGGCATTTCCACACAGTTAGAGAGCGTGCTCTCAGAAGGGGTGCAGCACACACTGGGGGAACACGTCTGTGTACACCTACTTACTGGGTACCCTCTATGTCCAATGTCACAACCAAGCCAACTCCCACCCTTTAAAACATGGCTTCCAACCATGGCACCTGGACCACATCTCTCTCCTCAAACTGAATATTTAGGCAGTTTTTAGTCTGTCATAGAAATCGTATCATGAATGAGCCTACTCAGATGCCAGAGAGCGCTTGACGCACACAGCGGGGCTACACTAACACAAAGCTCCAGACAGCTACTTCTGTTAGACTTCATGCCAGACTCCATTGCCATCTCCCCGCCGACATGTCCCCGTGAGGTCTAAGGTCTTACCTAGGACATCAAGGTCAAGGGTCTGTGCTAGTTTTCTTGCACCATCAGCACCAAAAATATGGGTTTTGTGTCTGCACTTTGGACACTGGAAGACACTCATGTTTTGGACAAGGCCAAGGACCTAGAATAATACAAACACACTAAAATTAAAACACAATTACAGCATGTCATAGTATATAATGTTAGCACATTTTTACTGAGTACCCACTAGTCAGTGATATATGGTGAGTAAGGCAAGGCTCTCTGCTCTCATGGAACTCACAAGCTAGTGAGAGATGCAGATAGGTAACTAACTTAGTAATAAAGGCTGAAGGGTAAGTGGGAGATGAAATGCTTGGCCTGAAAAGAATGCTCAGAGACAACTGTTCCTTCAGATTGTGGGTGGGCCACCTGAAGAGGCAGCGATGCCTCCCACAGGACAGTCAGGAGCAGGCCCACAGTCAAGGCTGCAAGTGCAGGGGTCGCCACCTAGTGGGTGGTCAGGTCAGAGGGTGGTGAAGGTCGGGGTCAGAGGGTGGAGGGGAAGGTCAGAGTCAGAGGGTGGTGAAGGTCGGGGTCAGAGGGTGGAGGGGAAGGTCAGGGTCAGAGGATAGTAAAGGTCGGGGTCAGAGGGCGGAGGGGAAGGTCAGGGTCAGAGGACAGAGGGAAGGTCAGGGTCAGGGGGTGGAGGGGAAGGTCGGGGTCAGGGGGTGGTAAAGGTCGGGTCAGGGGGTGGTAAAGGTCGGGATCAGGGGTGTATGTTTTGAACATTCAGTCTCCCGGAAGCTCTTGATGGAAAGCCTGCTCCCCCACTGTGCTCCTGGCAACTCTTGGAAGGGGTCCAGCTTGGGGAGTTAAATGCCTGGAATAACTTGCTATCCTGCTCTAGCCTCTTCAGTCTCTGTTTGCCTGTCTGTCTGTCTGTCTGTCCTCTCCCCCTCTTTCTCTGCGTCCTGTCCAACACAAAGTGAACGACTTTCTCCTCACACGCTCCGCAACCACATGGAGCCAACACCTGTGGCCTGACCCTCGGAGACTGTGAAGCAAATTCAACCTCTTCCTCTTTCAGGCGTTCTGGTCATAGCAATGAGAACAGCCACAGATCACAAGAGCCCAGTGATGCTCATCTGACACAAGAATCAGCAAAGATTTCTGAAGCTGAGAAGATGCTGGAAAAGAGGTGGAGGTAAGCAAGAGTGTGCTGTGAAAATGTGGCTGGTGAACAAGAGAGGAGGACTAGATGAGGGAGGACGGAAGTCTCCAGCCGACGGCAGCTCGCACTCCGACTCGGTGAAGTCACGTGCTGGAACAAGGCTGAGGACGGCTACTTTCCCCACACACGAACGCTGTTGACCAACCCCACTCTCTGAGGAAACGGAAGCTAGCAGAAGATTCTCTTCAGCTCTTACTGCTGCCATTTGAATAAAATTTAAATTTAAAATTTCACCTACAGTTCCTGTCTCTTTCTGAGTTTCCATGGCTTTAGGTGTAAAATAGACCTTAAAGGAACATTACCACTCAATGGTACCACGGAATAAGCACACGGGCTCTGCCAATACCGGCTGCATCCATGCACTTGTAATCCCGCACTCATGCGGACGTAGGGAGTGGTCTCTTCTGGGACAGGAAGCAGAGCAGCACCGTGAGAGCAGAGGTAACCTGTCTGTACTGTCCCATCTGCTCCACAGAAGATGTCACTGGAGCAGAGTAGTAGGTCATTTGCACCTTAAATGAAGACTACCATGACGGCCCACGATGACATCAACAGACAGAAAGGTGATAGATTATCACGGTTTTGAAGGGAGGGGCAGAGAAGATGAGGGCTGTCCACACACACACACACACACACACACACACACACACACACACACACACACACACACACACACGGAGTGAAGACAGCCAGTGACGGAGTCGCGTGCAGCACAGCTTTTCAGAGCGGCTCATACACACCCTTTTACTGATGCAAAGTACTACAAAAAATAGATCACACCATGCTTTGGTAATTCAGCACCACCTCCAGAAAGTGAGGCGAAAACACAGCTTAGTATCATAGGGTTTATTTGTTTATTGACTGTGACTACATAGTGTCCCCTTTGCTTGGGCAGTTTAAGTGCCATTTATGTTGAATGTTATATATACCCTGACTTTAGGGCTTTCAACTTAAACATAAAAAACATTACTCAATAAAAGAGAACATAAAAAACACTTAAATAAAGTGAAAATCTAGGTTGCTGTATTTTAATTTAGAGAGACTAGGAAAAGCATTCTGAATCTGGAAGGTCTTGGCCCCATGGCATAGAGGCGTAGCATGAATGCACCTGCAGTCTCTGTGATTCACTTCTCATGATCAAACTGTCCCCTGTGGACTACAGAAACACCCACACACATTCTCTGCAGACTGCATAAATGTCACAGACATAAAATATACAGATAGAACCAAATAGCATTTAATGTGCGCTTACATGCCGCTAACTGGTCTAGACCCAAGGGAGAGCATACAGTGGGCGAACAGAGCTGTAATTGGAGAAATGGATTAAACAACAACAACAAAAAGGTACAGAGTGTTGAGAGGACAGATTGGAGAGGATTCATCGACTCCAGCATCTGAGAGTCTCTTTGAGGAAAGACCTGACCTAAAAGTTACAGAAAAGCCAGGCAAATATAAGGAAAGAAAAACATTTAATCGTGAGTAGGAAATACATGTCTCCCTTTGGAAACTGCAAGGCCACGTGAGTCCTGGGTGGTTGGGGTGCGGCCTGAAGCTGAAGGGGAGAGCTTGCAGTGGGCATTCGGATGTCTGCAGTCTAAGAGGGCAGAGAGAAGGCAGGGGAAGGGTGTGGATAGGAAAGGCCTCCAGGCCTGTACTATAGTCATTTTATTCAGAGGTTTAGAAACATGATACGATGAGAAAAGAAAACGAGTTTATTTTTCTTAGACAGACACAAATTCAGGGCCATGTGCTGTTCCAAAATCAGTCATGTGGGAGATGATCATCCATCTAAAATATACCGAGTTCTCCTGGGCACAAAGTAAGGATTTTCCCCTTTCTAGTGAGGTGAGGACATGCAGTGTGTCTAGACCAGAGTAAAGTGGGCAGAAGTTCCTGTGTCACTTACAGTCAAGATCTAGGGGCTAACTCCCGTCTGTCCTCTGTGTCCTGGTGTCCAGCCAGTGGCTGCTGTGTCGATATCGATTCGATAATTGAGTATGATACAGAGAAAAGGGACATGTAGAACAAGAGAAGCCAGCTACCATTGACCGAAACCACCAGATAACTAATGACACTCATAACCCCACCCTGCCGTAGCTGATACAAAGATAGGAAGAAAATAATTTTCTTTCTAGAGTTTCTACTTTATGATTTCCATGTAATGCCAATTTTATTATGAAATTAACATAATAATACTATAAAATACATGTGCTATAACACATGAACACACATAAGTAAAGCATAAATATGCATTGGGATATGTGAAGCACCATTTAGTGACAAAAGTGAAATTAAAAAACAAACAAACCATCATGTGAGGGTTGAAACACTGTGCTCTCATACTAACGTGACATCATCCAACTTGGGTGTAAACACCCTAAGACTGCTTCCTCGTTTGTCTGAATAAACTAACTGCACTTGACTAGAATTTCTGTCTCAAGAACTTCATCCATATACCACTTTGCTCCAATATTAACAACAGCAGCAAAGTTGGCAGCAATGGAACAGCATGGAGCCTAGAATAGACCTCTGTCTGAATGTCATTGCTTTATAATGGGAACCAGACCGTGCTTGCAGGGCAGCTGGGTGGCCATGTGGAAACCAGCGCATCTTAGCCCACCGTTTGCACCACACAGACACTAACTTCATGCAAACAAGATGCTAAATGTGAAAGGCAATACAACACACGGGAGAAAACAGGGGTAAACCTGTAACCTCGGAGGCAGACACAAAGAAACTAGAGATAAGCTCAAGCATTTATAATGAAACAGGACTTCAATGATATTAAGAAACAGATATCATTTACAGGAAAGGGAGAGTACAGAGCAGGGCATGAATCTATAACACAAGCTTTGCAATGGACTCTGTACTGGAATATACAAGAAACAAATCAATAAAGAAAAATCAGACAACACAATGAGAAACAGGTAAGAGCTTTCCAATTACCTTATCCAAGAGGACATCCAAAGCACATCTGAGTTAGAAAAAAATGAGCACCGGTATGATCAAAACCAAACCAAAGAGAAGACACCCAAGGCCGTGAGGGTGTGGAACAGCTTGGACTCTGGCTGTTCGACATTCTGTAAACCTGGTGGGCCATGTCTACCTACTGAGTTAGACTATGGCACACTCCAGGTAGCGAACCAACACAGATGTAAACACAATCACAGTAGAACACTTGCAAAACTACCCAAATGTTCATTAAGAGTAAAACAGGCACATTCTTGTATGGCCCACAGGGCAGCGAATCGGGAACCACAGCCACCATCAATCACCTATATGAATTTTGCAATCATGACCCAGGCAAACTGTACTAGATTCATAAAGATGAGCACTGCATCACCCCAGTCACAGAAAGCTCACGGACAGGCCAGACGGCAGCTTTATGAGCTGCGTTCCACGTGGGGAGGCAGTGGAAGGCAGGAGGCCCTGGGTCACTCGTGAAGTTCTACTTTGAAGTGTTACATCCTGTGACCAGTATCTTCCCTGCCCTTCTCCCGACCCTGAGAGCCACCATTTTATTCTCTTCCCCGGGGAGTTCAGCACTTTTAAATTTTATATAAAACTGAAATCATGAAGCATTTGTCTTTCTGTGCCTGGGTGATTTTACTTGAAATGATGTCCTCCAGATTTACCTATATTGTCACAACAACAGGATTTTTAAGGCTGAACAGTATTCCACGATGTACACAAATAATGCTCTTTATTTGCTCGTCTGTTGATGGCCATTTACACTGGTCCCTTATACTGGCTTCTGTGAATGATACCGAAAAGAACTTCAGAGTGCAGACGTGTCTTTGGCATGCTGACTTTGGTTCCACAGGATGTATGCGCAGTAGTTGTTGGATCCAGGGTTGCTGGATCATATGGCTTTTCTCTTAATAGAACAAATCATTTTAAAGGGCTGGAGAGATGGCTCAGCACTTCAG